CGCGCGGGGCCGCGGACGGGGGTGGGGGATGGCGGGGACTCCGGCACCTGGGACCCCAAGCAGCGGGGGCCCGCGCAGGGCGGTGGGGAGCGAAAGGGCGTCCGCGCTGCGACCCGGTCGAGCCCTCTCTGGCTTTAAACTGCGCGGTCCAGTCGACACCGTTTTATAAGAAGGTAACGTTCGGCGCATCCCTCACTGGAAGGCCACCCCGCCCTCCACGCCTGGGAAAGGATTCTGAAAACTGCGGTTTCCCGAGAGCGCGGCCTGACTTCCTGACTGGGCCCGGGCAGCACTTCGTGGCGGACGGAGGCCGCTGGGGGGGGGACTCGTTGGGAACTTCCTCGCCTTCCTCCTTTCTTGGCGGGTAGGGGACTCCGGGGAGCCGCACTGCAGAAGCCACCTCCGGGCCTCGCGCCCGGGGGTCGTCGCTGGCCCAGGGTCCAGGGCGGCAAGTGAGTTGGAAGATGGCGTTCGGGACCAGAAGCACTTACGGTCGTGTCCAGTCTCGATGTCGGAGGAAACCCACGCCCTCTAAGAACCGTGGCCTCTCCTCCCTGTCTCTCCTGTTGATTCAGGGGTATGTGGTTTTCTAATAAATCCGTGGGTGTTCCTTTTTCAACAGTATGAGCGAGCTCTGTAGACGCTCAGAGAGCCACCTGTGGATCGGAATAACCCGAAACTGCCGATTCTCTCGGTTATTTTAAAATAGAAATCACCATCCCTCCCCCTTCTGTCCTTCTCTGAGCACTGATTTGGTTATTTTGGTACCTGTGGACTTGGCAGAATTAAAAGGCAGTTGCTGCGAACACTGCTTGGGTGATCTGGGGAGGGGGGAGGTTCTGTTGACTTTTTAAACATTTCTTGGCTGTGTAAATATCGTGTCAAATGCGGTAAGTGCGCGATGCGAAGCTGTTTACTCACGTGGCTGCCAGCCCTACCGGAGTCCAGGCCAGCTCGCGCCTCTCGATTTTGGTTCTTTTTCCACGTTTAACACGCGCGGGCGGCTCCTCCACGTGTTTCCCGCTCCCGTGCGCCCCGCCTCGGCACCGCCTGCGCGGCGGTCCGGGCTTCTGAGCGTCTGCCGGTAACATCCGTCCTCAATCGCGCTGCCCCTCGCAAAGAGTGTATCATCTGTTTTATTTTTGTAAAAAACAAAGTGCTAAATAATATTTATTACTTGTTTGGTTGCAAAAACGAAATAAATGATCGAGTGTTGAGATTTTAAATAAAACGTCAAGTAAGGTCGGGCGTTTTCCATCCGTGTGAATGGGAGGCGTAGGGAGCTGCCTGGAAGAAGAGTTCAGAAAGGGGTCCCTCGGGGCAGGACTTGGGGATTTGCTCTCCTAGTTTCGCGCTGGAGAAAGATGAGAGGGTTGTTTGTCCACCGCTCCTCCTCCACACACACATTCTCTCTCTCTCTCTCTTTTTTGAGTTGGAGACTCACTCTGTCACCCAGACTGGAGTGCGGTGGCCACTCCCGGCCACCGCAGCCTCCACCTGCTGGGCTCCGGCGATCCTTCCACCTCAGCCATCCAAGTTGCTGGAACTACAGGCGTATGCTACCATGCCCGGCTAATTTTTTGATTTATTGTAGAGATGAGGTCTCACCAAGTTGTCCAGGTGGGTCTCGAACCCCGGGGGCTCAGGCAATCCACTCACCTCGGCCTCCCAAAGCGCAGGATTACAGGCTGAGCCACGGAACTTGGCCACATTCTCTTTAAAACGTGGTCCGAGCACGTCCTGCGGTGGCTTTCACAACTAACTTGGTTTTGTTTTTATTTGCCGAGTCCTCATTCCCCCAGCTATGTTTTGAACTAGCCTGAAAGTGAACGTTTTCTTCCGAAGTTTTAGGCCTTCGGTGGTCGAGAGCTGTGCCTTCCACTGGGGGTATGGACGCGCGGGGTCCTCCCCTGCTCGATTTTTTTTTCTTCTGGTCAGAAGCGATCTCCGGCCACCATCCTGCCCGGGGGGGGTTTCCTTGACTTCGGCTGCCGGCCAGTCCTTTTGGGGGGCCCCAGTCCAGCGGGGCCGTGGCGTTCCCGGCAAAGTGCCCCAGGAATGTGTAGTGCAGAGTCACTAACCCTCCATTTCTT